GGAGATAGGATAAAACTTGCAATGTAGGATAACTGAGTGATATTGAGACTTTTCTGATTTATTCAACATATTTTAGTGGACATGATATTCGATATTTGTTTAAATTTTTTTCCCCAGAAGCAAATCTGTGAACTCTAAGGAAAGTTTTCCCTTGGAGCACAAAAATTGACAAAATTGGAACATAGAAAAATGAAAAAGTGTCCTCAAAAATTACTCACTATATAGAGGGGCGGACATAAGCAGAGTCAGAGTAGGAAGGTCCCTGTGTGGCATATACATCTGAGCAAGTGTTACAACTTTGAGACTCAGTTTTCTCAGCCGAAAAAGAGAAGTACTTATCTCTCTACTCACAGTACTATGATGAGGATCAAGACAGACAAGATGAATACTTTAAAGGAATTTTGTGCACAGCAAAAGATGAAAGAGTAGAATGGTATCATTAAGTCATCAGTAGTTGAGGGACAGGCACCAGAAGACCCCAAATGTCTCAATGAATCACCACTCTTACCTTCATTCACTATATAGTGCTAGAATCATCTCTGCTGGATTCATCTTGCAAATTCCTTAGGCTAAGAACAGTATTACATTAATAGTCATTAGGATAATATAGCATTGTTCTAGAGTATAGTAGGGATGTGTTAGAACCTATGGGCTTGAGCAAGGCTTTGATTGAAGGTTGGAGAGGAGATGATTTGGAGAGGGTAGGACAAAGTGGTGTGTGGCAATGAGGGTTGGGGGCGTTCCAGGGCACTGGCCAACTCCGAGGGAGAATGCTGAAAAGGAAAGTAGAGGACACAAAAACATTCATTGCTGAATGACAGTACCAAATTTCCGAGGGATACCTAGCCTGTTTAATCCATTCTTTTGCCCTCTTCAGGGTCAGTCCCATTAAAGACAAACAAAGTTAAATACTTCACCATTTTACCTCAATGAAGGATAACCACGTTGAGGAACACTCAGAGCAAAGATCCTTTGTTGGAACAATCCCAAAGAGGCCAGCACAAAGTCCCTCCAGAGTTCTAATGGAAAGCCCCAGTTGGAACAATCCTATACTGAATTATACATGGATACTGACAAAGGGAGACATTTTAAACAGGGATGAGCCTATGCTAACTTGTGAAGGACATTAAGTTTGTCTTCAAGAACCATCATCTTTTTGCCCCTTCCCCTCACCTACATTTTTTGTCACCTTCCTCCTTCTTCAAGGAGGTGCCCAGTGGCTCTCTACACCTAAGGGATTGTCATTAAGCTTCTCACCCAAGTCTGCCCTCCTAGACAAAATCCCAGTTTAGATTATGTAATCCCCAGATTGGATTAGACAGTCGTCCTTCTCATCCAGCAAATTTTGCATGACTGGCAAGATTCTGTTCTCAGGAACTGACTAATTTGAACAAAGATGTAAATGACTGATGTTATTCCTTTCAGATGTCCCTTCTTTTAGCTAGAGAGGCCTATCCTCACTTAATAGGTTTTATTCTAGTCAGAAATTCTGAAGGTCTTCCACTTCAGATGGATTCTTTTGTGAAGGCACAGTAGGCCATCTTTTGCCTCATTGCTTACCAAACTGAATCACTAAATGGGTGTTGCCTCAGAGAAACTGAAACCTGGGAAACACCTTAATTTAAAAAGCTCAAGGTCTTTTAATGCATCTGGTGCTGCCTCCAGTGGTCCTGACCTATGTGTTGCCCAGAACTCTGATGACTGTGGAGCAGAGGGTTGGGCTGATGACTTGGCACAGCTCTGTCTTACTTAAATCCAAATCACTTGCAAGTCAAAATGTCACTCTTGTAATTCACTGGTCCTCTTCTAAAATGAAGGATGAACAAAAATCAATGCCTATAACCCAATTGTTTAGGTTAATATAGTTTATACATACCTATATATATATATATATATATATATATATATATATATATATATATATGATATGAGTTATTCATATTTCTAATTTATGAACAACATATACATTTGTACATAGGTAAATACATGTGTATATTATATGTAATATATATATATATGTATATATATATGCGCACACATATATCCACACTTATGTGTGTATAAAGACAAGGTACTGCAACAGTTACAATCTAAACACTGTGTTTTCATCATCTTTTTAGAAGATGCTTTTTAGAAGCAAAGCCCACCTTCTTGGCTCCAAGCAGGCCAGGTAGCACAGTTCCACTGGGGCAGCTCCAAGGAAAACTTGCTAAATAGTGAGAAAGAGATTGTAGTGGAACCTTTCTGAGGACATTGCTGTGGACTCTACATGGACCTTGTGGCCTCCTTCTCATTGACATACATATTGTCTCCATGCAGAACCAGCCGTATCATCCAGAAGATTCTTCCTGTCATGTCTGCAATGGCAAACGAATTTTCAAATCAACAACATGCAAGAAAGTCTGTTAGGAAACGACAAAAAGGTCTATGTCAGATCCTAATTGGAAGAATCAGGCTTCTCTTTTCATGTTTATCTAGGAATAACAGCGCAGTGGTGGATCAGGTACTCTGACATTTTTCCATCTACTTTCCACACTCTTATAAGATATGCCACTGTGTAATAGTTTTCTGCAAACTTGCTTGGGGTTTTAGCCTATGCTGTCACTGAAAAAGAAAAAGGAAACATTCTGTTGGATGTCCATCTCCCCATAACTGATGTGGCTGGGTGCTTCACAATTCCTTTTCTGCACACTTACCAGTAAAATTCACTAGACTTCAGATTGTTTGAATCCTTGCCCCTAACAACTCCAAAGCAATTTAAAATGAAACATTTTCTTCCAATGAAAATTAAAGCAGAGTTAATTTGGTTTCAGTATTTATGAGGTGTTTTATGGCTTCCTCTAACTGTAGAAATAGTTAATACTGAGTCACACACCTCATCAATACAGTTTATGGCTCATATTCTAAACAGAAGGGCTAGAACTCAATAACAAAATGTTCCCTTTGACAAGACACAAGGAAAAAGGGAGTAAAAAGACTGAAAACATTAACTGTACTCCTCACCCTATTAAGAGAAAGATCGGTGACCATCCTACTTCATGGTTACTAGTAAATCAGAGAAAATGTAGGTCCCTGTTCATTTATTAAAAAAAAAAAGTCAACATAAACTGTTCTAATTCTTTTAGCTAATGTAGGAGTGTACCAGAAAAAAGATTATCTAGTATTAGCCCAAGAGATAACACACAAATTGTATTCCCTACCCCTTGAAAAAGGATTAGGTTAGGATTCAAGATTGAGGTTTAAGTCCTGGTACTATTGAGAACTTTCTAGGTGACTTTGAATGTTTGTTTGAAAAACAGATAATTTAGGAGAGTTTCTTTTAGTCAATTTAAATACTTAAAGGATTGTCATCAGAAAGTGGTGTCCTACTTAATGCCAAAGGGAAGAATTAGGAAGTCACAAGGTGGCATATTCTGATCTCATAAAAAGAGAAACTTTGTGACAATTAGAACTTTCAAAAGAAGAATGGGCTACCTTTGAGGTAGTGAGGTCTCTGTCACTGGAAATCTTCAGGCAAAGTATAGATGACCCTTTGATTTAATCCCCTGAGCTACTTAATAATTCAAAGTGTTTGAATGAGGAAAGAATACTATCCAGTCTTAGTCTTAGGAGACCTAGTTAAGAATCCCATTTCTGCTACTGTGTGACTGTTTCTTTGTCCAGAAAATAGTGATCTTTAAGATTCCCCAAAATTCTACTCTTCAGTGACATCTGTGAAGTGACAAAATGAAACAGTTTTCTCTTCCCTCTCTCTCTTCTCTCTGTCTCTCATTGAGATAAGAACCAGGCATTAATAGAGAGAAGGCACTAGAATTAATAACTTACAGGGATGTCTTGTTGAAAGTGGGATTTTAGGTAGAACGTTAAGGAAGCCAGGAAAACAAAAATGGCTATGAAGCAGGAAATGATTCACTGGTGCAACCAGTGAAAATGCCTGGAATTGAGAGATAGAGTTTCTAGTTTGAAGAACAATAACAAGGCCAATGCCTTAATGACTCAGAGTACATGAAAAGGTCTCCTTATTTCCTTCTATCCTTCCTTCCTTCCTTCTTTCTTCCTTCCTTCCTCCTTCCTTCCTTCCTCCTTCTTTTTTCCTTCCTTTCCTCTCCTCTCTGTCTCTCTATCCTTGTCTTTCTCTCTCTCCCTCCCTCTCCCTCCCTCCTGTCTTCTCTCTTTTATCTATGGATACTGTGGAGCTATTATATCCTTCTTTGTGTCTTAGACATCCCTGGTTCCATAAAACTTCTTTTTTGGAAATGTCATCTTCTATTTACTCAGATTTTCAGCCTTTCCTGAATTGGAACTTTTCTCAAGGTCAGCCTCCTCCCACTTTTGCACTCTTAGATGGTGGGATCTTGCTTCCTTTTGATCTGTATTATCTGGGCTCCCAACTTTGGTTTGCATTACTGCTGATGTCTGTGCTTAGAATGCGGGCAGGTAGATCTGACTTCAAATTGCTTCTCAGACACTTACTAGCTGTGTGACCCTGGCCAAGTCACTTATCTCCTATTTGCCTTGGTTCCTAATCTGCAAAACGGGGACACACTGGAGAAGGAAATAGAAAACCACTTCAGTGTCTGCCATAAAACCCCATGGACAGAATCCATGGGGTCAAGGCATGTTGGACATGACAGAATGACTGAACAACAAAAACAGCAGCAGCAACAGATCCCTATGTTTTGTCTTTGGGGTAACTCAGGTCAGAGTGCCGCAAAGAGCCCCTGAATGTGTCAGATTGATTTTGGGGGTTTGAAATTTTCATTTCACCTGGTTCAGTGTGATCAATGTATCTTCTTCTGATGGTTATTTAACTGATAGTAGACTATTTTTCCTTGTTATGTGTTAGTTTCATAAACTTTTACTCAACAAAATGTTAATATAACTGACAATTTAGAAAGCTTCTTCCCCTTATTTGATATTAGAGGGAGCTATTGTCATAGAGGAAATATCTATATCTCAGGAACTTAGAAAAGAAATAAAAAACTATGGGTCATGACAATGATGATGATGATGGTGGTCATAATAATAAGACCCAATAGCTATAATATGTAAGAGTTTCCAATTCAATTAGATGGTCATTGACGAAAAGGATCAAGCCACTTCATGTCTCTGGCCTTCAGTGTCCTCATAGATACACTCAGTTCCCCACCCCCCAAAGTCATCTTCAGTTTCAAGTCCTATGATCCTCTGGAATTCAATGGGATCTGCCTGGTAACCAAAAGAATAAGAACTCTTCTATGAGTGACCAATGTGGCTTACTGTCACTGCAAAACTTTTAGGGGCTGTTAGACAAATTTTCCTCCGACTTTTAAAAATAATTTTTCATGGTCCTTGTGCTCCATGGTAGACACATTTATCTAGGCAGACACATATTCTTTTATGTCAAGTTAAGTGACTGAGCATTCATCAAGTGTCAGCTATGTTTCAGTCACTATGTTAAGTGTAGGGGATTCAAAGAAAGGCACAAGACAGTCCCCTGCCCTCAAGGAGCTGCCATTCTAATGGGGGAGGCAACAAGGAAAAAACTATGTTCATACAATAAAAATGTTTAGTCTTCTTTCCCAGAAAGAAGGTAAAGACCCTTTGCTGATTGTCCTGGTAGGACTGCTTTTGGGGGATGATTAATCATATGCTGGGTTAGTAGAGAAGAATAGTGTTGTTTCTTGTTTCCCATTTGAGTGACTGTGGTGGGATGGTCATTTCTTAGTCCTATCCATAAGGCTGGTGTTCAAGGCTCACATACTGAGGTTGTCATTTCTCTTTTCAGTCTCCTTTAGACCCATCCCTGGAAGCAGTTTCCTCCCCAAAGCATAAACAGCACTTCAAAGGGGCAGCTGACCCAGTCCATACGTCTGACCATGCAGATCTGCTGGGGGAGGCCAAGAAGACTCTGCAGACAGAGGTGCGTGGATCATCTTCATAGAGTTTTCAGGGGAAGTTCTTCCTCAATAAACGTGAATGATAAACGCGCTGATTACTGGCTCTCCAGCCATTTTCTAATGTGTTTTTTAAAAAAATATGCTGATGGCAGTGTTCCTTTGACTATGGTTTCTGTAAGATCCAAATCGCTGCTTCTCTTTCAAAGAGAAGGTTTGAATTTTGCGAGTGGTAAGGTGGCCTTCAGGCAGAACACCATATACTGAGAATGAGGAAGCTGCTTCTTGGCACGCTTGAACCCAACAATTACACAGGGCTTCAATTTTTTATGTTGTCCCCAATACTATTAAATTTTAAAACAGCACTACAACTTTTGTGACATCTTATACTGCATACTATATAGGCCTACTGCAATTGTGTAATGTAGATACATTAACCACACTTGACATATATGGAAACTGAGTCTCAGAGAGTTTTAAGTGACTTGTCCACGATCTCACAACTGGTGTGTGATAGAAGTGTCAACTGAGTTCAACTTTCTGACCCCATCCAGCACTAATCATCACATCAGGCTGCCTCTCCTCACCAACCTGAGCAAAGTAACCGATGAATGAATATAATTAGAGGAGCTCTTCCCTCCATTTTCCCCTGGAAAGGAAGAACTCTGACTTCCAAAATTCAGCTCTATATCAAATCTACTTGCATCAGTGAGCACTTTATTAGGTGAAACCATAATATCAGCCTACGGAAAAAAGGACAACAAGGAAAAATTTCAATTCTTTTCTCTGTTGTATAAAGATCAGGACTGTGGATAGAAATTAATTAAAGAACCTCCATTTGCAAAAGACTCTCTACTACCTGAGCATGCTCGCCAAGGAGATCAAAGGCACAAAAATCACTAGGTTTTCCAGTAGGTAGAGTGCTTGGCCTAGAATAAGGAAGATTCAACTTCCTGAGTTCAAATCTGGCCTCAGGCACTTACTAGCTATGTGACCCTGGACAATTCACTTCACCGTTTTTGCCTCAGTTTCCTCATATGGTAAATGATCTGGAGAAGGAAATGGCAAAGTACTGCAGTATCTCTGCCAAGAGAACCGCCAAAGGGGTCATGAAGCGTCAGACATGACTGAAAAAAATCTTCCCTGTTATAGTCTATCTGATGAGATTCAACCTCATTTTTTTTTTTTTGCTGGGAAGAACTTTTCTGGCTCCCGACTCTGTCATCTAGTATGACAGTTTCCTCTAGCTTTAGATCACCTACAGATTTCATAAATAGGCCATCTGTGCTTCCATCTAAGTCAGTGATAAAAAAGTGTTAAACAATGTAAGGACCTTTGGAGATCTCTGGAGTACTTTACTTCAGACCTTCCTAACCCACTGTAATGAGCTCTTTGATTGTGGTCAGTGAACTGGTTTCCAACTCACAGAATTGTGTTTCTTTCTGTCCCACTTATTTCCATTTTTGTCAAATACTTTCCTGGAGTCTATGCAGAATATTTATATTTTTTGCAGCATTCTGCTGATGTGTAGTTAGGGGCAGCTAATGGATAGAGCAAAAGGAAGACCTGAGTTCAAAGACAATCTCTGCTGCCTCGGTTTCATCATCTGTAAAAAGGGACATAATAATGAAACTGGCCACACAGATGAAGATCAAATGAAATAATATTGTGAAGTGCTTCATACAGTGTCTGACACATAGAGGGCTCCTGAGAAATGCTTGTTTCCTTCTTTCCTTCCAGTAACCCTTTCAAAAAATAAAAAAGGAAACAGAATTAGTTCAGGAGACATTTGCTCTGTTATGTTGATTCCCTAGGTCTCTTCACTGATAGTAAATAGTGATGAGAACACTTTCCTTTCCTATAGCCCTTTGAAACCATTGAACTTTTCAAAGTGCTTTTACATTTATTAGATTATGTTATCATATTATGTTAATGGTAAAATACCAGTAGAGGAATGCTATGAAGAAGGTAGTTCAAGTATTCTCAACCTTGTTTTACAGATTAGGAAAGGTGTGATACAAAGAAATAAAGTAATTTGTTGAAGGCAGGAAAGACAGGTCTCGAATCCTGGTTGCCAGATCAGTGTTTTTGGTGACTTACTTCTCTGGGCCTCTGATTCTTCATCTCTCAAAGTGAGGGATTGGAATACATGTTATCTAAGATCTTTTCCAGCTCTAAAAATGAAGACTCTACCAACTCTTTATGGATGGCCCATGTCCTTTACCTTCAAATAAGAATCTATGACCACATTTATGTACAGAAGAAGAGACAGACAGCCTTCTTCTTTAAGATTAAAGAGCAATAGAATGACAGAAAAGTTGTCATTTAGAATTTTCTCCTTATAACTAAGTTGGTTCCTAATTTAGGAAATGCTTTCTCCTCATTTCACATTATAAGTCCATTTTGGTTGTTGAGCTTTCACAGCAGAAAAGCAAGTGAAAGAGTAAAACAAATTACAAAGCTAATTTTACCATTTCTCATAGTAGGATATTTTCAATTGTTAAAACCCAATAATGTTGCTTCAATCACTTGTTAAGGAGATCTCCCAAAGTCATGTGGAAACATATCTAGTGAATATGTGGTGGTCGCCAAACTTTTTTCTTTTTCTCTATAGAATCATCTACTGTATATCAAACCAACAAGGTATCAACAAGGCTTTATAAAAAAAAAGTAAAACCACCAGTTCAATGTCATCAGAATAATTGAACCAATAGTCTCATGCAGATAATTCATCACCTGGAAATCAGTGTTGCAAAAACTGTTCTTCCTCTCTTTCTTCACCTCCAATTCATACAAATATTGGTTTATTTAGGACTGAATATGTGTTGCAGAGGCCTTCCATAAAAATCTTGTTTTTCCTCATATTCTAGTTTTTTCATTGTGGAGGTTCTCTGGCTCCTGAAAATTGATTAGACAGTTCCATCATTAAGTTAGAGTGAAGTGTTCTATTTGTGTACACCAGCCTCCCTTTTCTCCTATTCATCTCAACCAATGATCTACACTGCAGATTTCCTTGAGGGGAAGTTGCCAGCATAACGAAATCCATATTTGGAGTATAATAATTGGACTTGCATGCTTGGCTTGCAAAGGAAGGAGCAAACAAGGGATGTCTGGACAAATCTCACTTTTGTAATTTACCTGCAGAAAACTGATGTCCTTCAGCAAGAGATCCAGTTGCTAACTCTGCAGGTGGAGCAGCAGCATCAACTTCATCAAGAGGCTGTGTGTGGGATGGCCAGGTGGCACAGTGGATAGAGTACAGGCCCTGGAATTAGGAGGACCTGAGTTCAAATCCAGTCTCAGACACTTGACACTTAGGCAAGTCACTTAACCACATTTCCTAGCCAAAAGAAGAAGAAGCAGCAGCTGTGTGTGCCTCATACCAAAGTGAAGAAAAGCTTTTGGAGCAGAAGTCCTGGAAGCTTTCAGAAAGGAAAATTGCTGCTGATGACTTCTTTCAAGGGAAATGGTATTTAGACAAGAAGAACATAAGACTCCATTAAAGTATATGGCAAGGAAAAACAAATATTTTAAATTATATTAATGACCTCAGTTGTACCCAGTGTGCATAAAAATAACATTGTTATTAGCATTCTTAAAAGTTTTTGGGGACTTGCTGATGTGGCAGAGCCAAGATGGCGGAGTAAATGCAATGACTTGCTTGAGCTCTCCCTCAGACCCCTCCAAATACCAGTAGAAAATGGCTCTAAACAAATTCTAGAACGGAACCCACAAAAAGGCAGAATGAAAGAAATTTCCAGCCCAATACAAACTGGTTGGCTGATTAGAAAGTTCAATTGCACCAGGCTGGGAGAGGAGCATAGTTCAGCTTGGGCCATGCAGACAATGACCTGGCCTCAGCAAACCTGGATCAGTCCTCAGGGGATTGAATCACGGAGAGCTGTGGTGGTTTCCAGTTTTCTCAACCCACAAACACCAAAGAAAACTTAGGTCAGTAAGAAATGTCTGCTGGACCACAGTGAGAGAGGAGGTTAGTCCTGCCCCAGTTCAGGCACAGCCCCGGGGATCCAGCTGCTTCCAGAGCTCTTGGCCCACAGACAGAGGGGGAATCAAGTGGCTGATCAGAGGGGGATTGTAGAGATCTCTTTCCTGTTGCTGAGGCAGGATATTGTTGCTTTGCCCATGCTTAGATATTGGTAGCAGTTCTGGGTAGTGATCCTGGGGCAAGGAGGAGCGTTGGCCTGGTGGAGCTTGTGCTGGTGGTAGAGAGAGAATCCTCCTCAAAGTTCCAAGGCAGAAAAGAGTGCTTGTGCACACTTAGAGAGTAGAGAGCAGGCCAAGAAAGGAATAAACACCTCACCCTTGATCATACCACCCTGAAAGAACGGAAAATTTACAGGTCCCAGTATCTCTGAAAATAGCTGCACAAAACCCCTGAAGCTTACCATCTCCACAGCTGAAGCAGAATACTATCTTAACAAGGACTTTAGAACTCAAGTAATTGGCTGGGAACATGTGCAAACAGCACAAAAAAGCAGACCATAGAATCTTCATTTGGTGACAAAGAAGATCTAAACATACAACCAGAAGAAGACAACAAAGTCAAAACTCCTACATCTAAAGCCTCCAGGAAAAATGTGAATCAGTCGTAGGCAACGGAAGAGCTCAAAAAGGATTTTGAGAAGGAAGTAAGAGAGGTAGAGGAAAAACTGGGAAGATAAATGAGAGTATTGCAAGAAAATCATGAAAAACACTTTGACAGTTAACTAAAGGAGACTCAAAAAAATAGTGAAGAAAATAACACCTTATAAAACAGAATAACCCAAATAGCAAAAGAGGTCCAAAAAGCCAATAAGGAAAAGTGTTTTTTTTTTTTGGGTACAGGTGCAGAGGGACAAAAAACTGACTAATTCCTATTCTCCTGATTTTGTGCAAAAGTAATTAGAAAGTCCATGTTACCCACAACTCATTATAAATACTTGATTTTTAGAGTGAGGAAATTTTGTCGTGGAATTTTAAAAGAAGATCCTATAAGAATGATTATCTCATGGTAGAATTTCAGACACAATAACACTTAGAAGGGAGCAGTATTTATGAAGAGAGAGGATTACTTTTGAAATGATTGGTTGGCCAATGAGAGCCCTTCACTAGGAGCATGCACAATACACTCTGGCTGATGTGTCTTCCTTCATGGAATTTTGGTGAGCCAGTTTGTATTCTTGCTCTGAAGAGCAGAGTAGGTGCCTCTATTCCTATTATCTCTGTTACTCTCTAATACTCTATTACTATTACTAAAACAGGAATTGTATCAGGCCAAGCGAATTGAACATGCTCCCTGAGGACTGGGTTCTCATTGGTCACTCACATCCTAGTACTGTTCTCCATGATCTCAGAATCTAACTGGAACACAGCATGTACATAACTAACATTGAGCCACTTTTAACAAAATAAAAACAAACACATTATAGGTCATCCACTTTACAGTGTTATTGTTCATGCCATTCATGAGAGGCAACATGGTGTAATGCAGGACTTAGGATGAGATCTGCATCTGGATCCTGGCTCAACCCATTGGTTGTTGGCTGACCTTGAATAAATAGCTTCAACTCTTAGGGTTTGTTTACTCATGTATACAGTGAGGATGATAAGACTTAAGCAAGAGGATTGTAGTAAATCTCAAATCAGTTAATGGATCTAAAATGCTTTGTAAACTTGTAAGTGCCCTGCAAATGTAAGGTGTTATCATACATAAGAAAATTCTGTGCCACCAAAAGAAATTACTGCCCTTTGGGGAACACACTGGCAAATAAATTTTGAGCATTTATTTTTAAAATAATCTTAGTGTATAACTAAACAATATGGTTGCAATTAGTGAAAAAGAATCTAGAGTTCTGTTTTGGGAATCATTTGGTCTGGTTTGAAAAATTTTAGTTTTACTAGTTTAAAAAATACATTTTTAATGTGAGCCCTTATCTGAGGTTCTACTAAAGTTTTGATTCCTTTGTGAATGAAAGATGGCTTGTGCTGCACTTTAGGAGTGTCAGTACATATTCTTTTCTTCTTCCTCCCAAACCAATTGTTCTCAACATCAACAAAGGCTTCATCAAAAATAATTTTTTCATTGTCCATTGTATTACGGTTACATAAGTAAATAGTAGGACTAGTTTTTTTAATCCCATAAGACATTATGTGTTCAACTATTTACTGATTTGAAACTCTATATACATGTCAGTTACCTTACTCAACTTGTGTGAACATGTTGTTAAGCCTTTTTGTGGGTTTGATTATGTTTTTATGAAGGATGTGTGTTATCCCCTGGCAACACTACCACCATCTAGTGGATTGGATTCTCCTAGTGTTCAGTTCAGAGAATTGGATGCTCACCAGTCAGCAGGCAGGGTGCCAAAGGTCAGTGGGATCCCAATGTATTCACCTTTTAAGGGAGGCTTCAATCTCATTTTTAACCTCTTCCTCCTTTTTCTCTCTTTTCCAGAGCATAGCCTGGCATAACAGAGAGAACCTGAATCATATTGGTGGCCAGGGAAGGGTAATGGTGGGGAGGGAGAGAGGATGTTACTCCCCCAGGAATCCATTAACATTTCTTGAGGCAAAGGTACATGAGCTCCTTGGCCTCCCAACCACATCGCTTGAGAAGAAGGCCCCAGACTCCAAGGCAAAAAAAAAAAAAAGTAGGCCCCACATTCCAGATTTTTATTAAGATGAGATGATTTCCTGGCTTTGGGGATGTCTTGATATGAGAAGAGGCTCAGGCACTTGGCAGCAGTGAAATCACTACAATATGGGGAAACAAAAGACCTCCACTTTGACCCCTAATATGACCATGTGTTACCTGGTAATGTAGGTCTGTCTGTATCAAATACCATTCCAAGAGAGGGAAACCCATAACTATGGAGTCAGTCTGGGTCTCTGGGGGTGAAAGAAAAATATTGGTGTATTTCGTCTCTGATGATTCCAAGTTAATTTCCTCCCACAAGGAGTCCAAAGTACAGGATTTTTCAAGGGCTTTACAAGCCTGGGGAAATGGTAGAAATCAACAGAAGAGGAGGAAAGTGGTAGAGCTGGTTTATGGACTACTGTTAGTCTTTTCTGTGTTTTCTGAGGGGTGGAACAAAGGTCTTCCAGTGCCTAAATTATGCATGTCTTCTCTGGAGTGCCCTTTATCAACATCTGTGGAGTCCTAGATGTTTGTCATATTGAAACATCATGCTGTGATTTCCTTGGAGGCAACACAGGAGGAGAAGCCACCCGAGCCAACGAGAAAGTGATTTTTGAAGTTCCCTCCATTGAATCTAGTCTATTTAGGCCCACACAGAGCCTGGAGCTCAGACTCACGAGTCGGGGTCTAGTTTGCCTCCTTAATTTTTTCTCTGTCTTAGTGACCATTTCACATGACGACAGAAGTAATGAAAGCATTGCTTCTGTTTTGAAATGAATTAGTTGGAAATAACATCTCACCCCATCTCAACTAAGCCAAAGTTTGGCTTCATTCTATTTACTTTTTTAAAAAAAATTTAAAATTTTTAGGCCATTGGGGTGAAGTGACTTGCCCAGGGTCACACAGCTAGTAAGTGTCAAGTGTTTAGTCTGAGTCCGGATTTGAACTCAGGTTCTCTTGACTTCAGGGCCAGTGCTCTATCCACTGTGCCAATCAGCTGCCCCTGGTTTCCTTCTAAAGATACCAATTCTCAGGTGCCTTTCACAAATGGAACCAAAAACATTAACCACAAGAAGTTTTCACTCACATGGAAGTATGATTTTCTGTTACAAAGCACTTCACCTCTATTGTCCTGACTGATCCTCACAATCACCCTGTGGGGTAAGGAGGAGAAGGATTCTGATTCCTGTTTTAGACGAAGAACTGAGGCCTAGGCAGGTGAGACAAATCTTGGCCTCAGAACCCTGGCTATCTAAGTCCTCCTCTAGTACTCCACTTAGTTTGCTGCTGAAGTGGATGCAGATTACATTTGTTAATGACTTTAACTTGCATTGAAAAGAATGACTGACTAATCAGTTACGGCTCCAGTAGGGGTAACCCCAGAAACAGTCAGGGTCTTAAGACCTTCTGAAGGACCATCTCCTTTTTTTCCACATAGGGAGAAGCTCAGGGCGAACTCAACCAAAGGGAGACTTTGCTGACAGAAGATTTGGATGAGAAATTCATGCAGCTGGAGAAGGAAAAAAGTCAACAGATTCTGATGAGTATTGAGCAGAGCTTGTTGCAGAATCCTCCAATGGTTAGGCTGGAAGAAAATGTGATGAAACTTAAGAAAGAGCTCAGTGAAATGGAAATGGCAAATCAAATCATGAAAACTCAGCTGAGGAAAGTCATCCACATCCATGTAAGTTGAGATAAGTGAGGTTTCTTCAGAAACTCAACCAGGGGTTTTGTTTGTCAGTATTGTGGGAAGCTCCTCTATTTCATTTAAACAAACAGGTGCCCTTTTTGTTCTTCACTTATGGGAAGTTCACTTAGGTCGCACGGAAAAAAATTGTTTTTACACGTAATTAGGGGAAAATAAAATATTTAAAAAAGATATTTAAGTTTTGTTAGTATTACTTTTGTTATAAAAGCTTAAAGCTGCTCTAAGACTTTTGGAACAGACTGTATTTACAGCAATGAAAACTATACGATTGAGCCGAAAAAGTAGATGCCTAAGACATTATGAATTAGATATTAAGAAATTTATTTGAATATACAATATCAGTTCATGGAGACATCATACCAAAAAAAGGACACTTTTTCAGGAAGTTGTTTTAAAATCTAGTTTGATGCTCTATGTTACCACTGATCATAAAGAAATGGCTCTCTCATAGAGTTGTCTTAATCAAATGAATGTCAAAAATCCTGTGCTGTTGATGCTACTTTTTCCTTTACTTTTCATTACTTTTCCCCCCTCATAGCTTGTGGATTTTAGAGAATCTGTTACGAAGATGATGGGCTTTAACATCAAAATTCCAGACAAGGAAATCACTAATCAATTCTGGCCCCCCATCAATCCTTATGGAATTAATTACGTCTAAAGGCAGATCAAAATTACTGTTGCTTGTAAGACTGGCCAAGAGAACCAATGACACAAAAGACATTTGGCGCTTTTTTTCTTCACTGTCACCAACCAGACTTCATTTGTTTTCTGTAATTTTTGTATATAAGATGTTAGAAAATAGATAATGAATAAAATATATTTGGCATTTTCATTTATGTATTCTGTGATCTTTGCCACTTGATTTTTCTCCTCCTTTCTCTCTTATTTAACCCTTTCATGTAGTTTCTTTCTCCTTTTGCTATAGCTTATTCTAGATTTGTTGTTTATAATTCATTTGCGATAGCCTAAACCTGAGATTTCATCACTGTGTGAACTCCACTGATGCATATCAGCAATTCTGTAGTTCATAGTACTGGCTTTTACTGACATTTTAGCCTGTAACTTATTGTCTTATTTTCTTGGGATGCTGATAGGTTAGATGGCAAATCCAGAGTAACACAACTAGTATGTGTAAGAGTAGGATTTGAACCTAGGTCTTCCTGTGTCCACGGTCAACTTTTATTCCACTAAAGGCACAGTGCTGTTAAAAGCAGGACACTCGTTCTTTCATATTTTTAGTTCATTTTATTCATTCTCATTATATTTCATTGTCCTCCAATTGTTCTGATTGATGTCTGGCCACTGGACCCAGATGGCTCGGGAGAAGAAAGTGAGGCTGGTGACTTTGCACAGATCTCTATCCCTCAAATCAAAGTCAAATGCAAGTCATGTCATCTCTCTGATGTCATGTTCCTTTTCAAGAACAAGTGACCCCCCCACACACACACACACTTACACACTTAAGCACCTATTACTTGCCAGGTAAATGTGCTAAGCCCTGGGGATACAAAATGAGAGCAAGGCCAGTGTCTGCCCTCATGGAGATCTCAATCTAATTGTAGAGACATCAAGCAAACAAAATGTGTACAAACAAGCTCAATACAGGATAAATAGGATATAAAAGAGGGAAGGCACTAGTATTGTGAGGCATTGGAAGGGGCAGCTTGGTGGCAAAGTGGATAGAGCACCTGGAGTCAGAAGGATCTGAGTCAAATTAGCCTCAGATATTTACTGGCTGTGTGACCCTGGGCAAGTCACCTAACCCTGATTGCCTTTAAAAGAAGAAAAATGTGAGGTATTGGAAAAGCCTCCCTGTAGAACGTGGGATTTCAGCTAGGACTGAAGGAGCAGTAGGCTGAGATGGGGAGCATTCCAGGCATGGGGGACAGCCAGAGAAAATGTCTGACGTTGAGAGATGGAGTATCTTGTTTGTGGAACAGCCAGCAGGCCAGTGTCACTGGATAGAATTTTGGAGAGTAAGAAGATAGAATATTGTGAAGGGATTTGAATGTCAAATATAGGATTCTGTATTTGATCCTGGAGATAATAGGGAACTATTGGAGGTTACTGAGTATGAATTGACGTGGTTGGACCTGCACTTTAGGAGAATCACTTTGCTTACCCCTAGATCCGTGGGAAGAGTAGTTAGTCACCTTGTAGGGGACCCAACCTGCCAGTGCCAGTGGGAGTTTAGAGCATGAGCCCAGAGGAAACAATATGTCACTTTGTCCTTCTTGTGTCTCTGCTCCCAGTGCAGGTGCTTCAACTGACACTGTTCGTTATTGCTTTGAGGATGTTATGATTGTCTCTGTTCAGTTCTGTCTACCCTTGGGAACTTCCCAGGTCACCTCAATGGTTTCATCTGAAAATATTCACTTGCTTCAGATCAGAAAGAAACAAACACAAAGAGATTGATGTTGTCATGTGTGCCCAGGCACCATGGCCAGGTGAGAGATAGGGCAGCCAACTTTGTTCTACCCAGCTCTTGATGAGGCAACTCATTACAGCCTTCCTGCTTCAAAGCCCAGTGGGGCACCCTGGGAAAATACTCCTCAAGGGAATGCCTACCTTACTTCCTTGTTGTTGTTCTTCAGTCATTTTTCACATGAGTCTGACTCTTTGTGAGCCCATTTAGGTTTTTCTTGATAAAGATATTGGAGTGGTTTGCTATTTCCTTCCCCAGCTCATTTTACAGAAGGCAGGTAAATGTCAACACCAGGATCCCCCAGGTGCCCTACGAGAGTCAGGAGAAGTGGCAGACTCCAGCTGAGAGAACCACCACATAGGCCAGCCTAGCCTAGGTGGGCAGACTTCATCCAGCAGCCAGACGTCCCAGTGATTTAGCTTAGGTCAAGGTAGGGAGGCTTCCTCAAGTGGCTGGACTTCTTGTGCTTCTGTGCAGCTCTGCAGGGCAGAGTCCCAGCTTCCAGACTTCCAAGTGCTTCACTATAGTCCAGGTGACACACAGAACAACCCTACTTGGCTAGCCACCAGCACACCCCAGGACCAGCTCAACATGTAGGCTGCAGGCCCAGCGGCAGCATGAGGCCCAGCACACAAGGCCAGCAATCAGGGCTCTTACCCCCAGCACAAGAAGCTTTCAACAGTGAACCCTGTGCTCCAGCAGGACAGCTGTACTTTAAAAACCAAGAAATTGGCTAACATCATGGGAAAAAAGCAAAAACAAACACTGATCACAGACTCTTTCTGTGGGGACAGGGAAGATCAAAACACAAACTCAGAAGAAGACAACCTTGTCAATAAACCTGGACCTGGAACCTCAAAGCAGAGTAGAAACTGGCCTCAAGCCCAACAAGCCTTCTTGGAAGAGCTCAAGAAGGATTTTAAAGGTCATATTAGAGAGGCAGAAGAAAAAGGGGGAAATGAATGAGAGGCATGCAGAGAGCGTCAATAGCTTGGAAAAGAAAGGACAAAAATTGATCGTAGAAAGTAATTCCTCACAAAATATAATTGGCCAAATGGAAAAAAAAATCCACTGAAGAAAGCAACTTCTTGAAAAGGAGAATTGGAAATCGAACTCTGCAAGCCGGGAATCACCCAGAAAAACCTGGAAAGCTAACCAAGAAAGACAGGGAGCAGCAGTCCAGTAGCCCAGGTAGCTTGAGGCCTTAACCTGGAAGGGCCCTCTTGCTCAGGGGGAAGGGGAGCAGTATGGAACAGGAGGAGTTCCAGCAAGCTAGCAGAAGGCCCCAGTTTAGCATACCAGGAGGAGATCCTGACACCCAGGTGGTGGAGCAACACCAATACCAGGATCCAAGAGTGCCTCTGTATGGGCAGGGGAACCAGTGGAAACCAGCTTGGAAAACCACCATGTCCCTTGGCATTCTATGGCAGTCTCAAAATGCCTCAGCAAAAATCTGTGAAGCTCTCCAAGGGGACCCAGGCAGATAGACATCCTGCAACATCCATCTGAAAGCAAAAGGAAAGTCAAAGTAGCCAACATCCAGGAGCCAGACTACCCAGTCTTACCCCTAGAGTTCCAGTGCTGCTGATTCTAGCCCAACATCAAGTAAGTTGCCAGACCCTACAGCCTCCAACTACCAACATTGGGGGCCAGCAACAAGACAGTGACCAGGCCCAAAGCTCCCAACACAAGGAGCTTGGGTCAGTGCCCTTTGCTCCCCAGCACAGGAACTCAATTTCTCACAAGGCCAGGAAAGAAGCAAACACCATGAGTAAAAGCAAACATACCACAGATTCATATTATGAGAACAGTGAAGATCAAGGCAGAAATTCTGAAGAGGACAACATTGTCAATAGACACATATGTGGAACCTCAAAAGGGAATATGAGCTGGTCTGAAGACCAAAAAGCCTTCTTAGAAGAGCTTAAGAAGGATTTATTTTTTTGTTTTTTGATGGGGCAATTGGGGTTAAGTGACTTACCCAAGGTCACACAGTTAGTAAGTGTTAAGTGTCTGAGAATGGATTTGAACTCAGGTCCTTTTGACTCCAAGCCCAGAGCTTTATTCACTGTGCCACCTCACTGCCCCTCAAGAAGGATTTCAAAAGTCAAATTAAAGAGGTACAAGAATCCTTAAAAAACACAATTGGCCAACTGGAAAAAAGTGCATAGCAGAAAACAAGTCCATAAAAAATACAATTGGCCAAATGGAAAAAAAAGTACACTGAAGAAAACAAGTCCCAAAAAACACAATTGGCCAAATGGGAGTAAGGTACAAAATCTAATAGAAGAAAACAATTTGTTAAAAATTAAAATTGAGTAAATGGAAGCTAATGACTCTATGAGAGAGCAAGAATCAGTGAAATAGAAACAAAAAGTGAAAAAAAATAGATGAAAATGTAAAATACCTCATTGGTAAAACAACTGACTTGGAAAATTGATCCAGGAGAGACAATTTTATAATTGTTGGTCTACCTGAAAATCATGACAAATGAAAGAGCCTGGACAGTGTCTTTCAGGAAATCATCAAGGAAAACTGCCCGGAGGTCCTAGAACCAGAGGGTAAAATAGCCCTAGAAAGAATCCACTGATCACCTCCTGAAAGACATCTCAAATTGAAAATGACAAAGAATATAGTAGCCAAATTCCAAAGTTACCGGGTCAAAGAGAAAATACTGCAAGCAGCCACAAAGAAACAATTTAAATATCATGGAACCAAAGTCAATATTACACAAGAACTTGCAGCTTCTACATGATAAGGCAAAGGAGCTTGGATTACAACCAAGGATCAACTACCCAATGAAAATGAGCATGATCTTTCAGGGGAGGAGATGGATATTCAACAAAAAAGGGAACTTTCAAATCTTCCTGATAAAAAGATCAGAACTCAACAGAAAATTTGATCTTCAAATACAAGACTCAAGAGAGACATAAAAAAGTAAACAGGACAGAAAGATACAATATGTTGTTAAGAAAGACAAACTGTTTACATCCCTACAAGGGAAGATGACACTTGTAATTCTTGAGAATAGTAGTGTTATTACACCATGTTAAAGGGGTATACATGAAGGGGGTGGATATAAGTTGAAAAAAAAGAAAGTAGAATTGGCCAAATGGAAAAGGAGGTACAAAAGCTAAGTGAAGTCAACTATTCCTTAAATATTAGAATTGGGTAAGTGGAAGCTAATGACTGTATGAGACAGCAAGAATCATCAAACAAAACCGAAGGAATGACAAAATAGAAGAAAATGTAAAATTCCCCACTGGAAAAACAACTTACCTGGATAATAGATCCCAGAGACATAATTTAAGAATTACTGGCCTACTTGAGATCCATGGGGGAAAAAAAAAACCTTCCAATAAATTGTCAAGCAAACTTTCCCTGAATTCCTAGAACCACAGGGTAAAATATCCATGAAAAGAATCCAGCTATGACCTCCTGGATGACATACCAAAAAGAAAACTGCAAGGAATATCATAAGCAACTTTCAGAATTATCAGATTAAGGACAAAATACTGCAAGCAAGCAGAAAGAAACAATTTAAATATCATGGAACCAGTCAGGATTATGCAGGACCTAACAGTTTCTACATTAAAGGATTAGAGGGCTTGCTTGGCTTATCACATTCTGCAAGGCAGAAGAGCTTGGATTGCAACCAAGAATAAACTACCCTGAAAAACTGAGCATGATCTTTCAGGAGAGGAGATGGAATTCAATGAAATATGCAACTTCCAATGTTCCTGTTGAAAAAATGCAGAGGCGAACAAAGAATTCAGTCTTCAAATATAAGAATCAAGAGAGGCATAAAAAGGCAAATAGGAAAGAAAAAAAATATATTATTCATCAAGGTTAAACTGTTTACTTCCCTACATGGGAAGGTGATACTGGCTGTCTTTTTTTTATTTTTTTTTTTATTTTTTGGGC